TGTGACATGTTGACCCCTACCTCCCCAGCGGTACGTGGCGGTAACGTAACGCTCGCGTTACTACGGTAATAGGCGAGTTCCCACCCCGCCACTCCCCTCCGCGGTGACATCACGCGGTGACGTCACGCGATGACGCGGAACTGCTTCCTACTGTGACGTGGAACGGAACAGGCACCACGGCGGATATATAAGGGACAGCAGAGCAGCTACCAGAGAGTTATAATGTGGACATCGCTGAGTGAAGTAGTCGACGAGCGAGTGTGTTATCAACAGTTCTCCAGTCAGCCGACTATAGTGGAGTATAGCAGCCGTCGCGGAAAGAAGAACCGGACGTGTGTGTAATTGTGTAATTGGGAGTGTGTGTGATACAGTGATACACAGCTCCCCTACTGTAAACGTGTAGACCACTGAAGACATAGCGAACTGATTTGCGCATAGGGTTATTAATCGTGAAACCCCGCAACAGTGTTGACAGATTAATGCGATTAGGGTTATAAAGTGTGAAACCCCGCAACTGTGTGATAATTAAGTGTAGCCGATAGTTGTAGATTGTTCAATAAACCAGTTAACGATCTCTACGGCGTATTCAGTAATGTAAACACGTTACATTGGTGTCAGAAGTGGGATCAGCTAAAACCTCAGAGAGAGAGCTAAAGGCTATCACCGAGATGATGCCGAGAGGGCGTTGGTTGGTGGTGTGCGCCAGTATCGTCCTCACAAGTAAGTGGAACTACTCCGTATAGCCATGGACACTGAGCATAATATTATTAAAGTGTAAACCCCTAGGGAGTTAGGAGGAATAATAGATGGACCAGACTTAGGAAGGAAAGAGAGAAAGGGAGAGGTCTAGAAACCCGGAGTCAGGTGAAATGAGTGCAACTACATCCAACCAAAGGAGTATGTATTTAAGTGTAATGTACCCGACAAACGTCGGCAGTGACTGTGTGTATATATGTATATAGGGTTAGACGAACAAAATAGAATAGAATAGGAAGAAATATGGTGTAATGTCAATGGACCTTTCATCCTTCACAGCACGCACCTTCCCCTGTGGACCCTGCATCCCCTCTAGCTTCTCTGGAGAACAGTGAAACCGAGCAAAAGCGGCAGATGTTTAAGAGGTTAACGAGTTACTTAGCCCCTCCCCCCTTTACGACAGAACAGTTGCTAAAATACAATGTCATTAACTATACATACCTCTGTTTTTGCAAAAACTGTAAATAAGTTTGCGTAGCCACCATTACTGATCCAAATCTTGCTTCCATTTAATATCCATGTCTTTTTGTCATCTGACAGTTTTGCACGTGTTTGGATGGAAGCAGCATCAGATCCACTTCCTGCTTCTGTGAGACAAAAAGCTGCAATCCACTCTCCTGTTGCTAGACGTGGCAGGTAATGACGCTTCTGTTCCTCATTACCAGCAATAAGAATCCCCTGAAATTTCAAAAGTTCTGGACTAAGATGCAGAGTTTATCCAAAAGTCATTTCCTGCTGTGCTCTTCTGGAAAAATTTGGAAACCTATCCATATGCTGATCTCTCACAGGTCTTCAACATCTGAAGCTTCAAGCATTTGCCCATCTCAGATACTACCTAGTTCTCTCAAAGAAAGACAGACAAACTTCCATTATCTCAGATTCTATTACTGGTGTCATATTCCCAAGAAGGACTAGGTATTTTCATACAAGCTTGGGTGAATGAATGTATATGTCTGTCTACTTACAAACAACACAGTACTATCCCATTGATAATGATAACATAATAAAAAGCAAATGATGATACAGTAGTGTCTTCTTTGTTGTTTAAATACAGAATATTGTTGCATAAACTGCATACCTCGTATACTTTTATATATCCTAAATATTGTGACAAGACATCTATGCTTCTCATTTTTGTTTCCATAACTGAACATCTTCATATTTCTCCGATAAATTTAAATATTATAACAAATTATGTTACATCAGTTTGGTCCAATTTATTTTATGTTTGTACATAGGTAAGTCGATAAGTAAGTTACAAGTGGATATAGAACTTAAATAAGAGTACTGATTTGAAAAATGCTTTTATTTCTCGACATAATCTCCCTATACAATGAGGCACTTGTCCCATCATTTCACAAGCCCCCGAAAACTAGCAGCATAAATGTTATATTTTAGCGTCCTGTTGCACTCCTGTTGCAAGGGAGAGAAGGAGATAAATGAGTGTATGCACTGCAAGACGGATTAAATAAATCATAGCAGCATAAAATTCTTTGGGCTGCTGTCGGAACCAGGCAGTGACTTCCCTTTCTACAGCTTCATCATTGGGAAAATGTTCAGCTGAAAGATGATGTTCAAGAGGGCCGAACAAATGGAAGTCGCATGATAGGTTAGGTTTTCACAAAGTCTGTGCATGATGGGTGCCGTGCATGCTGACTCCACAACTCAAAATGGAAAGAATGGGTCTGGCATTACAGCATCTCAATCGCTACCACAATGAAGGGCATGATATGCTAGCCCAAATTGTCACAGGTGATGAGTCTTGCTCCAAGCAACAGATTACATGTGATTTGGGTTGCCATACTGTTAAGTTGTTTTGTAAAAACATCCCACGCATATCCTATCATTAAATTCCAAACACTACTAGCAGTGGGCACTTGAAATATGGAGCAAATGTAATAGTATAAGCAAACCTTGAGCCCAATGGCTTGGTGTGCTGCTAGTGTTACTGCAATTGATCCATCTACAGCAGTGACCTCACACAACCGAGCATACTCTGTGGCATTCAAACCTAAACCACCATATTCCTCTGGAATTTGCTGACCGAATAAACCAAAATCCTTCAATTGATCTATTGTCTGTTGAGGGATATGACCAGTTTCATCTATCTTCTTGGAATCAACTGTAACATAAAATCAGGAAGTGTCATATGACAAAATAATATATTTCCTTTCTATTAAACATCCCACATCTGGTTAGAATGACAAAAAAAATCCTATGTGGGGTATCACTTGATGTTCTACAGTCATCTGTATTAATGCAAGAGAACTACATCCCAACTACTGTAAAAACGTGTTCATGAAGGCAAGTCAGATAATTAACATCACTACATACTTAGCCCATTACAACTTTAACATCTTTAAAAACTAAGATGGTAAGATTGCTCTTAACACACTATATTTACTGTGCTGTCCTAAACAAAATGGGAGGATTCAGAAGATTACTTAATGAGAAAATCCACTAATTGTACTCTTCATGCAATAACAACGTCTCTGTTTCACCATAATGGTTTCTGTGTGTGAAACTCAATGTGTGATGCCAGCAACAGAATATGTTTAAAATATAATGTAAGCCTCTGCCTGAGGAACTTCAGAATTCCAACATATGTTGCATTAGATCCACAAGCTGTAATAAAACTACTGCACACTTATAGCAACATAACACCAAAATATATTATCAATAGTAGAACAGTAATAAAATAAATCCACGTTTATGCCTGGGATTAACAAAAACAACCCTGACTTTACACTTCTTTCAGAGGGTTAAAAATATTGATCTTCATGGGGGGGAAGGCTCTGCCCAATCAAAACACATCCTTCCTACCTTCATAGTATGTGGCTAATCACCATGACAGAGAATAACCACTAGTAGCTTCCACACATGTTGAAAACAATGCAAAATTCACATTCCAATAAATGTATGCACCATTATAATTACATCATTAGCTACCCAGAGATAAATATAGAGAAACCATAACTGGAATGGTGTGCACATTTTAGCTAAGCCATTTAAATGTGCAGGAATACTGAAAAGGCAAAAAAGTGGCTGGAAGCAGCCATTTACCTGGAAGTGCTAAGGAAAAGAAGAAACCTCAAACAGAACAGTTCACCTCCCAAATATGAAGTAGGGTTGCTAACTGCTACACTGCAATTTTTGGTGCATGGAAAAGGGTTCAAGGACAGACAAACAACTATAATGCAAAGGTTTCACTGTGTGTGTGTTAACTGACAGTTTTGTATTATTTAATGAAAGCCACTTTCACTGAAATTTTGGAATCTTGGTAATGCCTGCACAGAGAATAGAGATTATTAAAAAAAAAGCTATCCCTGTAACAGGCCATGAAGGCCCATAGGAGTGTGACAGGGCAAGGCTCCCAAATCTTCTAGACAATCGGCTCACAGATGGCAGTGAGGTTGTTAGCCTTACATGTAGGTCGTTTACCCCCCCAGGAAGTTTCCTGGTACTCATTTCTGTTACAGGCTGAGTCAACCGCAGCGCCATAGTGCAGCTGGAAGGATTAGGTGAATTGAAGAAATACACCTCATTGGGACTTGAACCAACAACCTGCTGGCTTGTAGCATAGGGCGTCAACTATGCTACTGCGTGTCCTGCTAGAATAAAGATTATGGATGACGAAATTTAAATGTACTCCATAATTAGCAACTTAGCTCTTGAAGTGTACTCTAGTTACACACAACCCCTAAAGAGATTTGCTGCTGGTGGCAAAGTATCAATACATTCAGGATTTTTCATGTAAGCTCCCTTCCTTTACATGCTTCAAAACTGCATACAACAAATTAGAGACACAGCTGAATCAACCATTAGGAATATGTTACAGAATGAGAATGCTTGCTAATGTTAGGTTCAGACTTGTATCTTCCCATTTCTCACCTAAAAACATAAAGATAAAATAATGTCATGCATTAGTGATTAGACATGGGGTTGGAATCAAATATAGGACATTAGTACAAGTAATCATAATGCTCTAATTCGTGCACTCTACTTTTCACTACAGCACATGCTAAGTCTTCTATGTCTTCATTAGCCATTACCTGGCAACAGATCTGAACGGTGTCCTCTGCTTACATCCTTACCAGCTGGCAACTGTCTCACAAATGATTCAACTGTGAACTCTCAACTAACTTGTGGCATCACTACCCATCACTGACTACTCAGTGGCTCTCACTGGCCATCAACTACTACTGACTGTAACTGCTGATGGTAACTCAGGTTGGCGAATAGAAACCACTGTCTCCAGTTTTTCTACTGTTGCATGTTTACTGTGTGTAGTAAAGGCAATGATATCATAGTGTGTTTACTGTGCAATGGATGATGTCTCTTGTTAAGCTTGTCAATCACATCAGAATATATGAAACTATACTTTTTCTGTTGCTTTGTTTGGGTGTGAAACCTAGTCTCTTACATGAAGAGAATAACACATATTGAGGATGTATGAGAAGAGGGTGCTGAGGAGAACACTGGAACTAAGAGACATGAAGGAAGTATACAAGGTGTGGCAATAAAGAAACCGGATTCATGCTCTAACCCTTTATTAAAAAAAAATCAGACAGTCGAAATGTTATCCCCTTCAATGTAGTCCCCTCCCCGATCCCTACACCGCTCCATGCGAATTTTCCACTGTTGGAAGCAGTGCTGCAGGTCATCTTGTGTTATGCTCTTCAAGAGTTGCGTCGCTTTTGCTTTCACTGCATCCACGGACTCGAACCTGGTCCCTTTCAGCGCAGACTTGATTTTTGGGAAGAGAAAAAAGTCGCACGGTGCTAGGTCCGGAGAATACGGTGGATGTTCCATCACTGGAATGTTGTTTTTTGCCAA